CCATCCCAAGCCACAAGAGGCCACCTGGGTGGGTTCCTTGCTCATGCCCTCCTTTCATTACCTGCTTGTTATCCTTCGTTTAAGCATTCACCTATTGAGAGACACTTGGACCAATTTGAGTTCACTTTTGAATAGTCATATTTGAATCTTACATAGCAGAAGTTTCCATTTCTCTAGGACAAATCCCAAGATCGAAACTGCTAAGTCAGATAGTAATTGCATATTTAATTTTAAAAGAAACTGCCAAATGATTTTCCAGAATCAATGTGCTAATTTACAAGTCTGCCAGCAGTGTTGAGGGATCTATCTTCTCTGTCCTGTTGCCAGAATTTAGTTTTGTAACATTAACCACACTGTAGTGCTGTCTCATTTGCATTTCCTCCTTAGCAAATGATTTAAACATCTTTATAAACAAAATGTACTTGCATGTATTGGTGTTTTGGCAGCATGCGTTCCTAGTGCTCCTGGAGGCTAGAAGAAGGTATTGGAGCCCCTGGAACTGGAGTTGCAATGGTTGTGAGCTGCCATGTGGGTGATGGGAATTGAACCTGGGTCCCCTGGAAGAGCAGCCAGTGCTCTTAACCACTGAGCCATCACACCAACTCCAATTTAAACTTCTTTTCATGTGTTTATCGCTCTCTCTGCATTTCCATTGGTAAAATATCTCTTCATGCCTTTTCATTTTATCTTTTAGTTGTTTGATTTCCTGATATTAAGTTTTGAGTGTTCTTTATGTATCCTATACAGTCATCCTTTGTGAGATAATGGTTAAGATCCATCTTAAGTTCATTGTTATATAATATGAGAGGTTTAGGTTAAGGTTTATTTCTCCTGAACAAACCAAACTGTTCCACTATTATTTGTTAAAGTCTATCTTTTTCACTACTGACTTGCTTTGTATATTTGTCAAATCAAACTTGAGTTTATTTGATTGGATTGTTCTGAGGTATTTATTTATTTATTTATTGGTTTTTCAAGACAGGGTTTCTCTGTGTAGCTTTGGAGCCTGTCTTGGCACTCGCTCTGGAGACCACAGAGCTCACAAAGATCCGCCTGCCTCTGCCTCCCTAGTGCTGTGATTAAAGGCGTGTGCCACCAACGCCCGGCTGAGGTCTTTACTTTTGCCTTTTGATCTGTATATCTGTATCTTTGCTGATACCACACATTACAGTCTTAATTACTGTAAGTCTTGGAATGTGTGGATTGGTTCCTCTGTTCTTACTCTTTGAAAAACACTTTTTATTATTGGGTCAGTGAATGCCATGGCACCCACGTGGGGATCTGAGGACAGCTTTGTGGAGTTGCCTTTCTCCTGTCACCTTTCCATGGGTTCTGGGAATCTTATCAGCTTAAGCACTTCACTGCCTGAGTCATCTAGTGACCTACTCTCTTTCAAGCTTGTTTCATTTGGGGCTTTGGGTTTTGCTGGGTGATACAGTACATGTTTATGACATTCACAAAGTCCTGTGTCTAAATCCCAGCACCAGCATATGTGTACACACACATACAGATGTACATACATACATACAAATACACAGACCACATTGACACACACACAGGCACACTCATAGACACACATACACAAACACACAGACCACATAAATACACACAAACACACACACAAATACACACACCACACACAGACACACACACACACAAATATACACATATACATAGATACACCACACAGATACACACACATGGCACAGACAGAGTTTTAGTTATTCTAGTTCATAATCTTTCTCTTTTTTTTTAAATAATGAAACAAGGTCTAACTCTGTAGCAGCCTGGAACTCATCACATAGCCCAGGCTTATTTGTAGCTTAATCTTCCTATCTCAGCGCTGAACTGCTGAGATTATGGATGCGAATGACCATGCCTGATTATTCCATAGCCTGGGGGTGGGGGAGGGCGTTGCCATGAGTTTGAGACCAGGCCAAGCTACATAATGAGCTCCAGGCCAGCCTTGGCTTCATAGTGAGATCCTGTCTCAAAAGAATAAAATTATGTCATTTGAAGAAAAACGAATGAAACATGAAATCATTATGTTGAGCAGAGTAACTGAGACTCAGATACATCTTATTTTCCCCCATATGCAGAATCTAGGTTTGTTTGTTTATTCATTTTAACTAATAAGACATGAAAGTAGAAGGGTGGCTTTTCGTGAAGGAAAAGTGGACCACTGGAAGCAGGGAGGGAAACAGAATAGGGTGGGGTGGGTATGATCAAGAATGTGTTGTTCACATTTGAGAGGTTATTGGTTTTTGTTGTCATTTTCAAAACAGGGTTTCTCTGGGAAGCTCTGGCTGTCCTGGAACTCACTTTGTAGACCAGGCTGGCCTCGAACTCACAGAGACCCACTTGCCTCTGCCTCCTGAATGCTGGGTTAAAGACGTGTGCTACCACCACCCAGCAAACATTTGAGAGTTTTGTACAATGAACATAAGCTAATAACAAAATTATGAACTGAAAAAAAAAAAGAAAACAAAAATAAGGAAGTTAGGGCTGGAAAGCCAAGAGCCCCCCCCCTGTGGGTGTCCCAGGTCTTTTCTCCCAGGCAGAGATCAAGGATGAGATGAAGGTTCATCACCAGGGTCCTGTGTTAGGTAAGAGGCAAGGCAAAGCATCCAGCCAGACAGGATATTTCAGGAGTGGCCCTTCTCCCTCATGTGCACAAGGCTTGATGCCTGATAACAAACAGCAGGTGCCAATCTGGAGGCAGAAACAGAAAGGTCCTAGGTAAAGGCCTCTGTCTACCATGACATTGATACCATCACTGTGACGGTAACAGCAGAGGAGCAGGTGCTTGGCACTAAAAGCATGTGAAAGGGAGAAGAATGACTGCAGAGTGTACCCAAGGGCTACATGCAAGGCTGAGCTTTGGTCCGCCTGAGGCCCTTATCAGTGCAGGTGAGGCTTTGCTGGTCATTTTTATTCTTGCAAACTGTAGTACCACTGTGTGTGTACTCTGGACACATTGCCTTTATTCATGTGAGCAGTTTCCTGTGCCCCACGTGGGTTCTTGGGCTTGCAGTCTTCCCCTGGGGAGTCTCTGAGCTGTTCTGTGTTCACAGTAGACCTGAGTCAGCTTTCTACCTGGCTGCTGATGCCCCATTTGGCCTTGTTGGTCATAAATTAATGTGTTCTGGTGTCCAAGGGTGGCAGAAGCTGGAGAGAAACATGATGAGAAACTGCCTAGCCCCTGAGTGGATTTGCCATGACAGAAGTGGGAGGCTCAGGTTATTCAGGTTGCATAAAGTAACATAGTCCAGGGCTGAGTCAAGGCCTGAATCCAGGTCAGTCTGGCATCAAGGCTATCATTTAGAGTCTACAAGGAACTCAATAGTAAGTCAATTAATAAACTGATTGAAAATGGACAGTAAAATTAGACATTTCTCAAAAGTACATGATACCAATGATCAGCAAGAATGTGAAGCAATCAATGTTCAGCGTCATTAATCATCCCAGCAAAATAAAACCAAAATAAGATTATCACTTTATTCTAGACTGGAGATGTAGTTCAATAGGAGAACACTTACCTAAAATGTGTAAAGCCCTGGGGCTTCATCCCTAGGACAACAGTAAAAGTGGTTTCCATTAAAAAGTTAAAAATAACAAGCCAAATTCTGGTACACCTATTACTGAGAATGTAAGCTATTATAATCCTATGGAAAGCAGTGTGGAGCTTCCTCAAAAGGTGCAAAGTGCAGCTATCATACGACTTGGCTATCCTACTACTGGTTATATAATACATCCAAAGGAAAATTAAATAACTGAGTTGAGACATCTGCTGCACTGTTTATAGAAGCCAAGGTGTGGAAATAACCTAAATGTCCATCAACTGATAAATAGATAAAAGTAACTATACACAATGGGATATTTTTCAGCCATAAAAGGCAGACGTGGGTGATCTGGAAGATATTATGTTAAATGAAATAAACAAGGCACAGAAAGACAAATATCACACAGCCTCACTCATAGGTGGAACATCAAAGAGTTGACCTCATGTATGTTTAGAATGGAATGAGAATGGTAACTTGAGAGAATAGTGGGTACAGACAGAGGACAGGGCAAAGATAGGTTTATAGCTACTAAGTTACAGTTAGGTAGCAGAGCGTATTCTGGTGTCCTATTGCACAGACACTAACTACAGAGGAAAAATTGTATTTGAAAAGGCCCAGAACATAGGATATTTGAAGGCTTTGAATTAAAAAGAAATAAATGTTTGAGATAGATACGCTGCTTTTATTTGAAGTAACACATTACATACATGTGTTAAAGCACCACATAGATACCCATAAATATAATGGGTATATTTTTATATGTTCATCAAAATAAATAGGGCCAGTGAGATGGCTCACCGAATAAAGATGTCTTCAAGAAAACCTGATGGCCCAAGTTTGAACCTGATTGCCATTGGTGGAAGAAGAGGACCCTAAAGTTTTCCTCTGACATCGGAATATGTACACCATGGCATATGTACATCCACATTCATACATATACACATTATATGTGTATGTAAATAAAATAAAATTATAAAATGAAAGACATCCATGAACAAATAATAACATGCCTCTGCTTTGTTTATTTATATATTGGGAAAAATAATGGTCCTTATACTCGGTAGGGTCATGAAAAGTCAGGCACAGTGGTGTATGCCTTCAATTCCAGCACTTGGATGCAGACAGGTGGATCTCTAAGTTCAAGGCCAGCCTGATCTACAGAAGGAATTCCATGACAGCCAGGACTACACAAAGAAACCCCGGCTTGAAAAAAACAAAAAAGAAAGAAAGGAAGGAAGGAATGAAGGAAGGAAGGAAGGGAGGAAGAAAGAAAGAAAGAAAGAAAGGAAGAAAGAAAGAAAGAAAGAAAGAAAGAAAGAAAGAAAGAAAGAAAGAAAAAATTAAATGGGCTAATTGTGTAACAATCTAGCAATGACCTATTTAGAATATGAGCAATGTTTGCTAAAGCTTAGCTGTTATTAATACAAATATGCCCTGCTGTCACAAAGGCATCGCTAAACCAAGGAGAGTAAAATTTAGCGCTTGTATGTGTGTGATGAATCTGAAGTTATGCCAGCTCTCACTGTCACTCAGAGGTCAGCTTCTCTATTAATTTCATCCCAGGTGGAGTGGCTGTTCTGCCTGCCCCACAGAACTTAACTGTACTGTCAACCAACATGAAACATCTCTTGATGTGGAACCCAGTGGCCCAGCCCAGAGAGACAGTGCTCTATTCTGTGGAGTACCAAGGGTGAGTTTGCCTTGTTTAATAATTTTTCTTCCTTAGCATATCAGAGAGGGATAGATAGCCCTTCCTTCTCTGCTCCAGGAGGCTTTGAGATCCAAGAATAGATGTTCTTCCCGACTCACTCCTTGGTGTGAATAGGTATGGGAGGACCAAATACATTTTGTTGTACCTGTTTTCAACAGTAAGTCAACTGTCCAGTGAGCTCGGGCCTGATTTGGAATGGACAAATCTGAAGAGTCAATCTCTTTGGGGTACAGGAGTCCACAGTTTTCTTGACTATGAGCATGTATCTAGAAGCCCACAAGAAGTCTTGACCCTAAAGGTCATCTCATCCAGGGGTGAGCCTGGTTCTAGTTTTCTCCAGCTGAGTAGGCACTTGCAGTCACTGAGAAATGGTTGGTGGAGTTGGTGATCAACGTATTTCATTAGCAATGAGCACAAACAGAGCCCTACATGTGTAGACATTCTTCTAGGCTCGAGGATATAGAGGCGTGCACTTCTAGATACAGGGAAACTAGCTTCTAGAACAACATGGGTCATGACCCCTTGGCTCACAAATCAGATATTTACATTATGATTCATAGTAGTAGCAAATGTACAGTTATGAAGTAGCAACAAAATAGCTTTATGGTTAGGGTCACCACAACATGAGGGACCGTATTAAAGGGTCGCAACATTAGGAAGGTTGAGAACCACTGGGCTGGAGGAAGAGATACTAAATACACTGGGTGTGTGCTCTTCAGTTTTGCAGCCACTAGTTACTAGCAGCTGTTTAAGTTTAAATTAAATTGACATATGTTTTGAATCCATTCTTCCTTTTTCACGGGCTCTGTAGCCACAAATGGCCAGTGACAACAGGATGCAAAACCTTTCCATCATCACAAGCTGTGATTGGGCAGCAGAGCTCTCAGCCAGATGCAGGGTTTTGAGTCCTAGTGGGAAGCTGTGAAGGCTGATGCAATGGAGTTGAGTTTGCAGCTCCTTTGTCCTAGGTGGTAGCCTCTGGAGGAGGTGATATTTATACCCTACTTGTGGGATATCAGAGGCAGAACATTTGAGACAGTGACCATGCAGTCAGAGGCCTAAGGCAAAAAGAGATCAGCATTTTGAAGGAGAGAGCCACAGGTCAGTAGGGTAGAAGCAGCATCCTTAGGGGGCAGGATAGGAGAAGGCCAGACTCTAGCAGGAAGCCATTAGGCACATAAACATCATGGTCTGCTGTGTGGCGTATTTGAATAATGGGACCTCCACAGCAGTGTGGAGACTGGGAAACCACAGCAAGCAATGGCAGGATGGTGCCTGAGAGGAGGGTGGTGACTGTGAGCAGGCTGAGGCTTATGTGAAGGTTCCTGAGGAATAAATGAGAGTGATGGTTAGGGTAGGGGATCTGGAGTCAGGGAGAGGAGGCTTATTCTGCTGACCCACAAAAGCAGAAGGAAGGCAATTACAGCCATCTTTGTATGACTCTGTGCCTTTCTCTCCTTGGCTAGGGAGTACGAGAGCCTTTACATGAGCCACATCTGGATCCCCAGCAGCCAGTGCTCACCTACCAATGGTCTGGAGTGTGATGTCACCGATGACGTCACTGCCACAGTACCATATAACTTCAGGGTCAGGGCCATGCTGGGCTCACAGACTTCAGCCTGGAGCACTCTGGAGCACCCCTTTAATCGAAACTCAAGTAAGGCACCCCCCTCACCCTTGCAGGAACTACCTTTACTTAGATGTTCAGCATCAAATTAACTGGTGTGCTTTTAAACACAAACCACCCTTACTGACATGTTTGTAAAATTGCTGACCTCATGTGCTGTCTTTCTCCTTCCTCACTCTGGAAGTGAGTCCAGGCTGTCCTTGTTAGGGTCTCCAGGTATTGAAGCTGTGGCATTGGCACTAGGATTCTTGCTCTGATCATGCCTCCATAAATCTCTCCCATCTGGAGCCTCATTAACCCCAATACAGCTGAGAGCAGCTTGGTTGCTTAAATAGCTACTGGAAACATTTCCTCCCTGTGGTTGCTGGCAACTAACTTTTTATTGCAATTATAATTGGACAAATGATTGAAAGGGAAGAGAGGAACCCAGGTAAGTGGACAAGTATGGCTGAGTGCAAGCCATGGCTAGAGTGTAAAAGTGTGTGTGTGTGTGTGTGTGTGTGTGTGTGTGTGTGTGTTTGGAATGAGGTGAGGGCTGGATGGGCAGTGGCGCAGAGAAGCAGCTGGCCATGTAGTGAGTCTTGATCAAGTCAGTAGATGGGAGCAGCGGAAGAAGAAAGAGTCTGGGCCATATCTTTCTTACAGAGCAAACACTATGGCCCCCGGGAGGAAAGTGACCTGGAGTGGGGTAAACCTGCAAGGCATAGGAACAATGACAAGGGAATTGTTACCCTCAGCTAAGCCAAGATGGGTTCTGGTCTGAGGAAGAGCAGAGTAGATGGGTGTGTGTGTGTGTGTGTGTGTGTGTGTGTGTGTGTGTGTGCTGGCTGGTCTTATGTCAATTTGACACACGCTGGAGTTCTCTGAAAGGAGGGAACCTCAATTGAGAAAATGCCTCCATAAGATTCAGCTGTAAGGCATTTTCTTAATTGGTGATTGATTGGGGAGGGCCCACCTATTGTGGGTGGTGCCACCCCTGGGCTGTTGGTCCTGGGTTCTATAAGAAACAGGCTGAGCAAGCCATGGGAAGCAAGCCAGGAAGCAGTACCCCCTGCACTAGCTCCTGCCTCCTGGGTTCCAGTCCTGCTTGAGTTTCTGTCCTGACTTCCTTTGGTGATGAACAGTGATGTGGAAATGTAAGCTGAATAAACCCTTTCCTCTCCAGCTTGCTTTCTGGTTATGGTGTTTCACTGCAGCAATAGAAACCCTAGTGAAGGCAGTGGAGTGGATGAATTCAGGAGACGCGAGTTCATTTAAAATGGAAAGAGCTTGGGGACCAGTTATTGGGGATGGAGTGGGGAGACAAAATCTAGCTTCTTACCTGGGTGCGTGAGAACTGTCCAAGGAAGAGAACCGAACAGGAGAAACAGATCTTGAGGAACAGGAAATATTCTATCTATGCGTTTTTGGAGTTCAGGTTCCTGCAGCATGGCATGCTGTGGATGTCTGACAGGCAGCTGGAGATCAGACCTCGGGACTCTTGGAGGTGAAAACAAACACACAACGCAGAGTTATTAGCTATAGGCCTGGAAATAGACGTGAACGTCCAGGGACAGAGTAGGGAGAATGAAGAGAATCCAGGACAGGCTCCCAGAAACCTCAAGGTCTACAGTGTAGATAGAAGACTTCAAGGAGGGAGGCAGATGGAACAGAAAGCTCCTCATAGGCTTAGGGAGGTCCCTGGGTGGTGCTTGAGAAAGTGACTGATTGCAGCTGCCACACAGAGAGGACAGAGTGGAGGTGGAAAGGGGCAGCTCCTTGTCTAAGGTAGGATGGGAGGGATGCCAGGAGTTTGGTGCTGGGGAAGGGCAGGGCCCTCGGTGGCCCATTTTCTTCATGTGACAGAAGATCTGTTGAAGTGAGGGCTCAGGAACATTAGGTCCCAGTATCCAGTAATGGGGCAAGTCAAGTTACTGAGGAGAGAGGTCAGAAGGGTTTAGATGGTGAGGGATTCCCAAATTGACCCCGAGGAATTATGAGGGCTGGTTCAAACCCAGTTTGGAACTTGAGAACTGTGTGGTGTGCAGGCAACATTTTGCCTCATGGGATAGTTGAGGGGATCACATGAAGTGAAACCTGTTGAAGCTCAACACAGTCGAGTCTTATCCCAGCACTCAACTTTTGTTAAGATTGTTGCCCTGGGGATGCTGGAGCTGAGAGCCAGGGAGCAGAGGAGAAGCCCAGGACTGCTGGAATGGGATGCCAGGGAGGCTTTAGTGGCAAAATGTGGACTTCTCTGCTAGGCATCTTTCCCAGGCACTGGGAAGACAGGGCTGAAGTGGCAGGACCCTGTGCAGGTTCCTGGAGGCTTAGGGGCACTGGCGGACACTGCAGCTCTCCCTCTGCCCGCAGAGTTCAGGCAGCACCCAGCTCTACTTCCTCTGGCACCTGGGAGCCTGGGGTTCCAGCCAAGAACTTCACTGGGGTCTGGCAACTCTTGCTGGAAGGAAGGCCAGGTCAGATGGAGATCAGGGAGTGCCAACAGTTATTTGGGAGGGGCTGGGCAGTGAAACGTGTGCTTCTCGAGAGGCCAGCATAAACAGGAAAAGGTCTTGCTGCAGGGGATCTATCTGAGGGATAGGAGTTTGCAGGTGCTGAAGAGGGCAGAACCTCTCTGAAGATTCCTGTAGTGCTATGTGTAGTGTAGTCAGTAACCTAGCTGAAGTGGCTCTGGACGCCCCTCCCCCGACCTTGGATTTTAAGATAGGGTTTCTCTGTGCAGCCCTGGCTGTCCTGGAGCTTACTCTGTAGACCAGGCTGGCTTTGAACTCACAGAGATTGGCCTGCCTCTGCCTCCCAAGTGCTGGGGTGAAAGGTGTGGGTCACTACCCCTTGGCTGGCACTGAATCTCTTAAGAGCACTCCACCTGCCCTTTCTATTTGAGAGGGCCACTCTGACTTCTATGACCCTTGAAAAATTGTGTCTTAATGTTCTCCCACGGAGAGCTCCTGTTCTTAAGCTTATTGAAGGCCGACATTGTTAACCTTGATTTCCTGTTATAATCATACAGAGCTTCAAGGTCACCTGTCTGGGGTCCTTCCAGAGGTATCTGATTTAGATGTGTGAGCATCGATTTATCTGAAACTTAAAATTCCACCCAGGTTGTTGTCATGTGCAGCCAGAGTTGGGATTCTCCACTGCAGCAGATGGACACCTCACACAGGGGAGGCTGGAAGCATAAACTGACATGGGCTTTAATTCTGGCTGTTATCTCTGTGACTTTGGGCAACTCCTTTAACATCTCTGTGCCACAGGAGTAAGATTTACTTTCTGAAGTTTTGGGCTGGATCAAGTGAGAGAAGTATAGAGTGTGTAGGGCAGAGGTTTTTGCCCTAGTGCTGAATGAAGAAAAAGAAAACAAAAGAAAATTCTCTAAACTGAAGTTTCAGGTCACTTTGTCTATCAAAAAGATGACAACCGGAGCCTCAGATTCCAATATATGTGACTTAAAAATGGAGTTGGACCTTCTAGGTCTGCAGGTATCACAGAGGTAGTGGTGCTGTGTCTGGGCTGGCTACATTTGCACAGGTGGCCTGACTTCCCAAGTCCTCTTGTCCCTTCCAGCGACAGCTCACCAAACCCAGGGATATTTTCTCCAGCGAGGATGGCAAGAGAAAAATACTTTGCTCTCTGAATGTCCCACCTAGGAACTGCCCTTCTTCTCCACATCCCTCAGCCTCAGTGCAGAGGGATTTAGCCCATGTCACATCCCATCCCAATTCCCAAGCCAATACCAACCGCCACACTGGCCCTTCTGGTCCTGCAATTTCTAGATTGTTATCGAGGGAGGGGAGGCAACCTGTGTGGGGCCTTCTGTTCTTGGCCTCTTGATGGGCTGCCGGCCTCTGTTTGGAAACCTGTAAAGTGAAGATGGATGGTGTTTGTAATTTCTAGAACTGGTTTGCCTGAATTTTTAAAAAGCTTCTGACTTGCTGAAAACTTTTATGTGATATGAAGAACGTTAGGGCCAAGAACTGAAGGGCCAAGCCACCCAAGATGTTGATTTGCTGATGTCTGCAAGGCACTAGATACCAGTTTTTGCTAATGCTCTGTGTGAGCAATAGGTATGCCAGGGTTGACCCTGTCAGATAGGTCCATTCCCAAGGGACAAAGACCAGGCCAGCTGTGCCCAGCAGAGTTCAGAGTCAGGCAGGTGTTCAGCAGGCATTAATGAACAGTGTCTGATCACTGAGTGAGTCAAGGTGAAGAGCACTGAAGTAGGGAGAGGAGACAGAGCATGCTCTTTGAACGTGAGAGTGGTGTTTACCTGAGTCCTTCATCCCTTCCCTTGAGCCTATGCTCCTGGAGAAGGGACAGATGACTTTGGAGTAAAAAATGAATGATTTGTAGTAAGTCTTTAGCATTTGTTTTCCACTCAGCCATCATTCAAAAAGCATTTCATGAGGGTCACCAAGATGGCTCAGCAAGCAAAGGCACTTGCTGCCAAGTGTGATGACCTGAGTTTGATTCCCAGGACCAACTTGGTAGAAAGAGAGAAATGGCCTCTATGTTTTACAGGCAAGTGTGTGCATGTGTGTTTGTACACACACACACAATTTTTGAAAACAAGTTTTTAGTAAAAATAGAATTTAAAAAGAACTTCATGAGCATCCATGGAGTGTAGGCAAGTGTTCATGCATATGATTCCATCTCTAGAACCCCTCAATAGACTTCTCCCTTGCCCACAGGGCTGCTATGTGTCCGCTGATGACTTGGTCATTTTACCCCCAAGAAAATTAGTTCTGTCCAGAGCTGGCTTTGATTCTTTCTTTCTCATGTCAACAGCTGTCCTCGTCGCACCCAGGATGGAGGTCACTGAACATGGCTTGCATCTGGTTGTTAAGCTGGAAGACCTTGGGCCCCAGTTTGAGTTCCTGGTGGTCTACTGGAGAAAGGAGCCTGGTGCCACGGTGAGGCTTCCCACTGACATTGGCCTTTGAGTCAGGCCTTAGAGGGACACAGCTTTCTGGGGATGAGGGAGTCAAGTCTGGCTTTGTAGTGTTCATGGCATAAGTGGCCCAATCTGGGTGAAGTGTGAAAAGAGAGAGATGAGAGAACTCTCCCTGGACTCCTTTCTCAAAGACCTAACCTTTAACCTTTTGTTCATCCTAGGCCTTGGCCAGGACACCTGAGCCTTTTTTAGGCCAGGTCTACTGAAGTCTTGGGAGTTGCTTCCCTTTCTCTAATGCCCCACCTCACTGGACCCCCTAATGCCTTTTTGATGCTTTTTTTTTTTTTTCTCCTTCATCAGCTAGTCTCAGATACTTAGGGGCAGCAGGCCAGGATGTTCCAGCTCAGGGTGTTCCGGATGATTTCAAAAGCACAGAAGGTGGGCACAAACCTCTTGAGGGTGTGTGTCTTGGCAGAGTGCAGAAGTGAGGCAGCGAGCCAGGAACTGGCTTATGAATAAGCCTATCTAATTATGATCGGGTGGGTCGGGCAGAAAGCCTGGAAGGGAGCTGCCCTTCCCCATGGGAAGTTTGCTGTAGTCTGGGGTGAGTGAGAGACCAGCCCTCATGCAAGGATGGCCAGATAAACTGTAGCAGCAGCAGCAGCAGCAGCAGCAGCAGGGTAAAGCTCTAGCAGACACAGGGGACACCACTTCCTGCATAGTCCTGTTTAAACTGATATAATGACAAGGTCTAGTGACCCACTCCAGTGGACACAGGGATAGCTAGCTTTCTCGGAAGGATCAATATGGGCAAAAGAGACTCTCACCAAATCCGTGAGCAGAGCCAGCACAGCACCAGGCAGAGGTACAGTCTTAACTACTTGGGGACCCTGGCCTGTAGAAGTCTCACTGTTCTCTCACTTCCAGGCCCTATGCATGCTCATAACTGTGCCTCCCTCAAAGGCATCTCAGACTGCCCCTCATTACATAGTCTTCTCCCTTTACCCTCCTATCCAGCTTGAGGTATCCAGTTTCCCAAGACCAAATCCTCCAGGGATGAATCCCATTGCTTGTGCTCATCAGTCTAAGCTGTGTGGGTTTCAAGCAGCCAGCTGAGTTCTGTGGGTACCCTTCTCAGGCTGGGGTGCTCAGTGTCACACAGCAATGTCTGGGGGCTGTGCACACGTTCCTGTGAACCCTCAGTTGAGTGGGATAGTGATCCTTGGAACATGGTTTGGGCACATGGGACAGGCTGTTGGCTGGTATTGACCCTGCTGGGTCAGGACACACTGGTAGGACACTGCATTGCCAGCCAGGCAGATGGAACAGGGTGAGAGAAAGGCTTGGAGCTTGGCAGGAGGGAGCATGGATCAACTTCACATTCTTTGGGGGCGGAGCCTCTTCCCCACCCTTGTAACCAGGAGGCTCGTTGCTGAGTGTATGCCCTGAGTCATCTGGGCTGGGTCCATACAAGCTTCTACAGGTTCCTTCCTCTACAGGCCTGGGGTTTAGAGTGGGAGTTGAAGGGAGTTAGACAGGTGGATGGGCTCCGCACAAATGTTACCCTGCCAGAGAGGCCGTTTCTAAATCACTGTTTAGCCTCGTTCCTCCTTGCCACTCTCTTTGCCTTGCCCTGCTTTCTCTTCACAGCCCTAATCATTACATGCAAGATATTTATGTAATATTTCTCTCCTGCATACAAGCTCCGGTGCTGGGTGCCTATGTCTGTAGTACAGGCTTAATAAATACGAGTGAGTGGATGAATGAGGAAATGAATGCATCCATGTACGAATGAGAATGCATGCTCTCTGTGTTCTGGGAAAGGACTGGCTGCCCTTTTCCCCTGCCCAGCTCTCCCCACCGTATCTAGCTCTGCTGCCCTTAGGCCGTAACTGTATTTTGATTTCTTAAAGGAACATGTTAAGGTGGTGAAGAGTGGGAACACTCCAGTGCACCTAGAAACCATGGAACCAGGGGCTATGTACTGTGTGAAGGCACAGGCATGGGTGAAAGCCATTGGGAGGCACAGTACCTTCAGCCAGATTCAGTGTGTGGATATGCAAGGTAAGGATAACTGCCTACCCCTGGGTCCTGGCACTTCACAGCCCTACCAATGGTTCTAGGTCTTTCCCTGGCTTTACATATTTGCTTCTAGGTTTGGTGGATTCTGAGGTAAACTCTAGTTCTCTCCAGGGGCAGGAGCCCACCCTGGGGGCTGGGTGGGATTTCTTGAGCGTTGCTTGGAGCACTTTCTCCCAAAGCCTCCTCTTCCTCTGGGCACATGTTACAGGACCAGCTTGCCAGAGGCTATTTCATGTGGGGCAGAGATGGCTGTAGGAGAGTTAGACCTGGGAAGGAGGCACCACCCTGTATAACAATATCACGGCTTCCTCTGTCTGGAAAGGATCTTATAGTCTACAGAATCTCTTTTTGACTAGCATTTTTCACTCAAATGAAAACAATTAAAAATTTGTGTGTGTTGTGTGTGTTCATGTGTGTAGCTGCATGTATGTACATATGTGGGTCTCAAGGACAGACACTGATATTAGTCATCTTCCTCTACTTCTATGCACGAGTTATTTTATGGGACAGTCTCTTTCGCTGAACCCAGAGCTTACTGACTGACTAGAGTGGCCAGCAAGCTCCAGTGACTCCCAAGCACCAGGGTTACAGGTGTACATAACCACTCCTGACTTTTATGTGTGTGCTGTGGACCTGAACCCAGGTCCTCATGCTTGTATACCAGGCACCTGACTGAATGGGACATCTCCCTAGACCTTTTATTTTATTTTTTTTTTATGGTCTAAAGAAACCTACAGTTATTTATTTATTTATTTATTTATTTATTGGTTTTTTGAGACAGGGTTTCTCAGTGTAGCTTTGGAGCCTATCCTGGCACTTGCTCTGGAGACCAGGCTGCCTGGTAATACCATATGCACTGTTCCGAATCTTGTTTTTATGTATCTTGTAGATGTTTCCAAATGATAAAGAAATTCCATCATCACTTCTTTATTACCAAATGCTATTCCATTTGTGAGTATGAGTGTGTTGGCTAATTTAACTGATCTGTGTTGATGGGTTTAGAGTCCCCAGGCTGGCCTTGAACTCACAGAGATCCGCCTGCCTCTGCCTCCGCCTCTGCCTCCCAAGTGCTGGGATTAAAGGCGTGCGTCACCAACGCCCTTCTAATTTAAAACTCTTTGAAAAGAAACAAAACCTTACATCCTATGATCCCACCATGCAAACTCCACTAGTTACTTTTCAGCATAACTTCTTAGATTTAAAAAAATTACTATTTTGAATAAAGAGTCTATTCATGTGGTCCAGAACACATAATATGCATGTAAATTATCTACTCTGTTTCCTCTCTGTTCACATGGTTTCTGCATCTTTTCCCTTCAGTGTGAGTTTCTTATATATTCTTCTGGAGACTTTTTAACTCATATACATGTAAATGAGGACACGTATATGTGAGTCTGGACATAAATATCACCTTTTGAGCAAAAGTAATATCATATGCACTGTTCCGAATCTTGTTTTTATGTATCTTGTAGATGTTTCCAAATGATAAAGAAATTCCATCATCACTTCTTTATTACCAAATGCTATTCCATTTGTGAGTATGTGTGTGTTGGCTAATTTAACTGATCTGTGTTGATGGGTTTAGAGTCCCCACCTGCCAAATACTTTGCTATTGCAACCAATGCATTCATTTCCTTGTGCATAGATCACTTTTGCTGATACACATGTACACACACACACACACACACACACACACACATACACACACACACACACACACACACACACACACACACGCACATTTGAATGATAAATTCCTGGAAGTAAAGTAGCTTGGTCCAAAGACATGATTTAACTTTGACACTGTTGTAAAAATTGCCCTCCATAGGATTGTGACCCTTCCGTTGTTATCCACGTGAAGACACACAGTAACTCTATATGACATACATGTTATACCTGGCTTATTTGGTTTTTTCTTCACAAATACATTCATAACATTTTCCATGCATACTTTCTGAGTAACATTTCTTGGTACTTACAAAATTATATGTCAAGCTTCTGAAAAGTCCAAATAATACAGATCTATAAAAAGTAGGAATTAAATACGCTGTCCTTTTCCATGCTGCTCAAGAGAATTGCTGTTACAGTTTGGATTTAGAATGTCCCCCGTGGGCTCATGTGTTTGAACAGTTGGTCCCTGGCTGGTGGGCACTATTTGGGAGGATGAAGAACCTTTGGGAGGTGGGTCTAGCTGGAGAAAGTGGATTTCATGGAGGTAGACCTTGAGGTTTAAATCTCGACCCCACTTCCTGTCCTGTTTCCTGAGCCCTGGGGATGTAAAAGTGCAGCTTCCTGTTCCTGGGGCCACAGCTGAGGACTGTCCCCACAACCACACCTTCCAGGGCGGGACAGAATGCATTCTTGGAACATGAGAGGAAATAAACTTTTCCTCTGGGTGCTGCTCGTCAGGAATTTGATCGATCACAACACCAAGGAAGTCACAGATATGTTTCTGCTGGCAAATCCTTCATTTCTTCTTCTGCATCGTCTGTAGCATCCAGTGCTTCCTCAACTCAGGGACCCAAGTGTTACCACTCTCTCCACCTGGCTCATCTACACTTTGTAACACATTTCAGCCAGCTCATAGTGTCAGTGGTGTGGTCTGCCTTACTTCCCTCCCCACTTCAAAACAGGCTCTTACTATGAATTCCTGGCTGTCCTGAAACTTACTCTGTAGAGCAGGCTAGCCTTGAACTCAGAGATCCACCTGCTTCTGCCTCTCAAGGGCTTAGATTAAAGGTGTGTGTCACTATCTGTAGCTTTCCATTGCCTTTTAAAGACACACAGTAAGCCAATATATACAAGTATTGCCAATACTATGCACTTTCCAAACTTTCTCCATTAATGATCAAACTGTTATGTGTCTATCCCATTTCTCCTTTTAACAGCTGAATTGCTAACCTACCATGCCAATGTCCCATAATATCTTAGGTCAGTCCCTTTTGTTTGGCATTTAAATCACTCCTATTTGCTCTTGAAGATGCAGTTTTTCCTTTTATTAAAGAAAGCTTTGCAGATTGCTGACTACATGCCAACTCCTGGCCTGTCCACTGGGGCAGAGAAGGGAGTCCCTGCCTCCAGCTGTGGAAACAAACGGCAAGCTACTGTGCTTATGAGGTGCTTCCCAGTGTGTGTGGGGGGGTGTGCTGTGAGTTGAGTCACAGCATGCAAGGATGCAGGAGTGTCAGTGGACCACTGGGCAGGTGATTGGTGACAGCCTGTGGCTCTGGTCTGGACATTCCTGTGAATTGACTGATGCACACACTTATTTCCTTCCTTGGAATGATTTTCTGAAACGGACATCACAGGAGTGGATTGGGAGGGTATTAACATTGTTCATCTCTTGATATCTACTGCCAAAATATTTCCCAAAAGTGAGACAGTGCGCATGCTCCATCCCATATGCCACAGACACATGGGCCAAGCCATCCCTAACACTGTGTGTGAACAGTCCAGGCAGGAAGTGATAAATGGTTGCAAGTGGTTAGATAACACAGAGAGGGGGAAAACTAGCTGGTCCCCTTCTCTGCATCTCCAGATACTCAGCCCTGGTGCTTCTTGCTCTATTTGTTAGCAAACTCATCATGGACTTTGGAGGTAGCCCTAGTTGTTCATCCTGGGGTAGGCCATTAACCCATCTCCAGCATAAATAACATCATCTTCTGTGAAAGGGATGCTCACTGTGAGGGGCAGGGGCCTAGAACTTAACAGGATGCTGGGAAATGGAAGCAGACCAAACACGTAACAGAGGCTTGATGTGTCATTTTAATGTGACTGTTTGGGGACTTGATATTTTCTTCCATCATAGGAGTCAATGCCAAGAGCAAATTGTGAAACACTTTGTTTTTGGTTTCCGCCCAGCCCTGTTCTGGGCTGTTCTGCTCCAACACCTCCCCCTCATCCTGCCTGTGGCCTGGCTGCCTGCCTTCCTCTGGCAGTAGTGCCAGGTAATGCTACTATGGGCAATGCCTTACATACCTCCCTCCCCTTCCCAAGATAGAGATGGTAATCTTCTCTGTGGCTTTCTGGAAAACCATACTTTAATTGAGATTCTAGGATAATGGTGGTAACTGCAGCCATTTGGAGGACACACCAAATCTCAGGGTGCTGGCACCTGCTGTCTTGGCCTGAGTACAGCTCTAAGAAACTCAGAGGTGTGGGACTGGTGGTTCCCCTCCCTAGCTGATCCCAAGTCTTCTCCTATGCTTTGTTCACAGGAGAGTCTCTCCCGCTGGCACTGGCTCTGTTTGCATTTGTTGGCTTCTTGCTGATTCTCATTGTTGTACTACTCTCCATCTGGAAGATGGGCCAGCTGTTCCAGCACTCTTGCTGCCCCACAGTGGTCCTCCCAGACACCTTGGTAAGATCATTCTTCTACCTTTCACTGTGATGCTTCTCAGAGGCTTCATGGGCCTTAGCTAGGCATAGGCACATTTTTCATGGTTTATGAAGATAGGCAGAGAGAGGAGAAAGTGCTAATGGGACTTCACTTGTGTTAGTCTGTGTTGCTGTAATAGAATAGCACAGACTAGGTAATTTATAGAGAGTAGAAGTTCATTGGCTTCTGGAGGCTGGGGGTGGTGGTAGTGGAATGAAGGTTATAGGGCGGAATGGGTGAAGGCCTGCTTGTTCTTATAACATGGCTAAAGGTGTCACTGAAGTGATAGAACAAGTTATCAACAGGCTGGCACTTATAGCCTACATTCATGAAGCTGAAGTTTACATCCTCCTCACATTGCACACTTCCTGCCCCAATGCTTTTGTGCTGTAGATTTGTTTCCAACATGTGTTTTTTGGGGGATATGCTCAGGTCACAGTAAACCCTTATCAGAAGGTCTGGGTGTGTCCTCCCTTTTCCGGGGTATAGTGACCTCCCTAGGCTCTGGCAGGCCATTCTGCTTTCCCACAGTACCTGGTATTACCAAGAGGGTGACTGTGTTACTCAGCCCAGGATGCTTAGTGATAAGCCCTGCACTCTTGTCTTCCAAAGCACCTTCTGAGCTCGCTCAGCTCCCCCAAATGTTTTTTTTTCTTTTGATTTTTTCAAGACAGGGTTTCTCTGTGGCTTTGGAGGCTGTCCTGGAACTAGCTTTTGTAGACCAGGCTGGTCTCGAACTCAAAGAGATCTGCCAGCCTCTGCCTCCCGAGTGCTGGGTGGGATAAAGGCGTGTGCCACCACTGCCCAGCTAAGCTCCCCCAATTGTAATGGAAGCTACAGCCAGGAGCAGATTCTAAGTCAACATACTCAGTCTGTGTGCCAAGAGTCTCGTGCCTCCAGGTTTAAGATCATGTGGCATGGAATATACTTTGCCTCATTTAGGCTCGGAGTAGGAAGGACAACAGTGAGGACCTTCATAGTGACTGCTCAAGGAGCTGTCTTCCCAGTGTCCCTCCACCCCCTGAGCCCAGAATGCTTCTCTAACCCTTGAAAACAATGGACCATGGCTCTGAGCCTCTCGGTGGGTGTAGGCCCTGTGTGCCTTCCCTGGCTAGGGAAGAGCAGGGCAGGTCCCAGCAGCTCACACATGTTCCACCTGTGGCTCTTCAGAGGCCCCCCTGGATCTCAACCACAACACAATCAAAGGAAAAAAGAGCAAACAGGAACCAGAGGAACCCCCTCCATCCCTGTCACCCTAAGGGTGTCACAGTTCTCTTCTGGTGGGGAGTTAGCAGTCAGTTGCTCTAGAGCAATCAGAACCAGATCCGTCTGTAGTCAACATACTGCTGGAGTTCCTTAACAGTCTGCAGTTACAATGAAGCCAATTTTGTAACATCTCTGTGGTTTGCTTTTGCCTCTCCCTTTAACCCAGTCCTCAGGATGCCCTGCCACCCTTCTGTCCTATAATGCCAGCTCTCCTATCTCTGATACTTCCAAGTGGTCACAGCAGTATTAGCGGACGGTAGCACAGAGCTAAGGGCCAGGGCTGTGGTGAGGATGTTGCTATGTTAACCCAGTTCACAGGGTTTTCCCTGACTCCCGTATAGTAAGTAGTTCTACTAATTGACTGAGAGAAGGGTGCAAAGAATCTAACTACGAATGTAGCTACACCTGTTTCTTCCTTTATGCCAACTCTCCATACTTTTTTTTTTTTTTTTTTTTTTTTTTTAGACAAGGTCTCTCTACATAGCCCTGGCTGTCCTGGAACTAACTATGTGCACCAGGCTGACTTTGAGCTCACAAAGATGCACCAGCCTCTGCTTCACAAGTACTTAGATTAAAGGCATGCACCACCACCACCACCTGGCTCACACCTGCTGATTCTTCCCAGACAGTTCATCAACTGGGGAGCAAGCATTCAAGCATATGAACCTATGGGAGCCATTCTCATCCAAACCACCACACAGACAGTGGGGCGGGGCAGGGAACAAGAGATATGTTTCCAGGGACAGTTCCTAGTAACCTACTTCTTCTAATGAGGCCCTGCCTCTTTTTCATGACCTCCAATAATGTTAAATTGTGAACACATCAAACAATTATTCCATCTCTCTAATCACTTGCCCAGAACCCGGCAGTACCAATGGGAGATGCTTCAGATTCAAGTCATAGCAGGCTACTTAGTAATGGACTGTCTGCAAAATTGCTCTCTCTATGTTTAAAATCAGCTATGGTCATGCCTGGGGTCTCTGGAAGACACTATAGGAGTGTGATAAAGGAATAGCAACACGCCTTCACTTGTGATCCTGTCTGGACTGGGCACTGGGCTAGGTACAGTACTAAAGTCTCACACAGCAGGTCCTTCTCAGAGCTCTCAGGTGTAGAAGGGTGGACACCCCACCCCCAGAATTATATATGAGTTTTTGTGGAGGCAGAGGTAGGCGGATCTCTGTGAGTTCGAGACCAGCCTGGTCTACAAAAGCTAGTTCCAGGACAGCCTCCAAAGCTACTAGTTCTCATAGAAAAGCACTGACTCAGCAGGGCCACGTGGGGATTGCTGGACAGATGCTGGGAGCCCTGTCCTAGGGGCTTGGGTTGCCCCGGAGGGGTTTGCTGCTTGAAAGTAAAGGGCTGGGGAGATGGCTCAGCGGTTAAAGTGCTTGGCACACAAGGACCCAAGGACCCAATGTGAGGATCTGAGTTCGGATCCCCAGAACCTATATAAATGCCAAGTGAGGGATCAAGGAAAACACCCAGTGCCAACCTAGGGCCTGCACATATGAGCACATGTTCCCACCTATACCTGTGAGAGAACACACACACACACACACACACACACACACACACACACACACACACACACCAGTTAAATAGTTGGGATTTCTGTGGTATTCTCTGTTGCTACAGTACTAATGAATGCTTTTTGTGCAAATGCATTTTTAGAAAATTACCAGTTCATCCCAGAAGCTGGTTGCCTGCAGGAAGGAGGAGGTGGATGCCTGTGCTGTGGCTATGTTACCCTCAGAGCATCTCTTCGGGGTTTGGATTTCACAGACTTGAGGAAGGGCCTGATGCTCTGCAGGACTCAGAACCCAGGATGGGAGACGAGTGTTTCTGTTTTCCCCTGGGGACAAAAGACAAGAGAAGCCAAAAGAGCCTGCAGTGTGCATGTCCAGTGACAACCAGCAGAGGCAAAGTGGTGTGGCCAGCAGACAGCAAATGATGAGGCAAGGCGCCCCCAGACCTGCAGTTACCATGTGCTCACTGAATGACACTGGGAGAAGTGGCTTCGTCCCTCTGGACCCCAGCTCTGTCACCTGTAGTGGGGATTAACCGCACTATTCAGATGTCTCTGTCCTTGTCTCTGTATGTGTTCACACTAGCCCTTGCAGGGCAGTGGGGAGACTAGTGGCACCATGCACTACAGGGGATTCAGATCTGGTGAACTGTGGGGTATATATGTGTACTAAGAGTGACAGAAGAATACACAGATCAGGCGGGCGGTGGTGGTACACTCCTCTAGTCCCAGCACTCGGGAGGCAGAGGTAGGCGGATCTCTGTGAGTTCGAGACCAGCCTGGTCTACAAAAGCTAGTTCCAGGACAGCCTCCAAAGCTACAGAGAAACCCTGTCTCGAAAAAAAAAAAAAAAAAACAAACAAAAAAAAAAAAACAAAAAAAACAAAAAAAAAACAAAAACAAAAACAAAAAAAACCCAAAACAAACAAAAGCAAACAAAAGCAAAACAACAACAAAAAAATTAATACACGGATCTGGATGCATGCTTGTAATCTCTGTCATGGGGGGGTGTATGTGAGAAAATCACAAGTTTGAGGCAGTCTGGGCTACAGAGTGTGAAACCCTGTCTCAAATAAACGACCAAACATCAAAGGATAATACAACTCCTGTATCAAAACCAAACACAAACCACTGCTGGTTTGGACTTCCCACTTTCCCAGAGGAAACCTTGAGGGAAGGAAGAAATGGAGGCCATTTCATTTCCTGGTTGAAGTGACAGTCAGCAGGCTCTGCTGTGGGTGATGTGGAGAGAGGTCATAGCCCCAACCACGATAGGACAAGCATGGATGCTGCTGTGGGTTCATGAGATGCCATCAGAGCCTAGGGCCGTGTCCACAGGAAATCCCATGAGTCCTCTTCCTGAGAACAGTTCACTCAGGGTCTCTAAGATGCTCATCAGGACCCCCTGACTAGAGGCGGTACCACTCCTTCCTACCTCCTACTAGGAAAAGAGATGTGTTGGAGGAAGACAGAGGGAGCAACCTTCTGGAGTGGAGAGGCTGTGCAGAGTCAGGCTCTCCACCCCTCCCAGCTCTGGAACCTGGAACTGGCTTGTCTCTGCCCCAACTTCCTGGGCTTCTCCAGCCAGTCAGGGGTGGAGACAGGCCAACCGTTTCAACCAGGTGCTTCCTGTCTTCAACACAGAGGCCAACAGCCCTATCTCCACCTTGGGGGCTCCAGGAGAAAGAGGGCAGCTCTCTGTAGGGATGTGGGCTAGGGCTCTCTGCCTTTGAACTGTTTTGTATACTTCTGCCTTGACTGTTTTGTGAAGTGTGTTAATTTTATATTTCAACTGATCTGGAAACATACATGCTGTTTGCAAAATTAAAAAATGCGTCCTAACATTGGTCTTCACTTTTGTTCCTTTTTCCTGCCTCTTCACTCCAGGGGCCTTGTTTCCCCGTCACCTGTCTAGGCTTATAATAAAGAAATAACCTGGTCTTCCTCTGTCACAGTTTCTCATGGGACTCTGCCCGTTTTTGCTGGCCTCTTTAGCTGCATACATACCTCTCTTAGTTATTCTTTTGTCTTTCATGTCCCCCGCATGTGTTTATTGGACCCCACCTGAGCATCATAAACGCAGCTTGCTCCTGATGGGGGAGTAGCTGCTTCCTCAAAGCTGACCACTCTCTCCTAGGACCCTCTCTACTCCTCTCTACCTGTGTCACAGTTTTAACAGTCAACTTGACACTGTAGAAGAGGAAGAGTCTCAGTGAGGAACTGTCTGGATCAGGTTTGATGGGGAATGTACTGTGTATGTTTATCTTATTGATTGTTAAATAAAATATTGTTTGGCCAATGAGACAGCAAGTAGACGGGACTAGGAGTCAAAGAGGATTCTGGGAAATGTAGTAGAGAAGTGCTGATCCAGGCAGGAAGTGACATAGCAAGGAGACTCATATTTAAGCGAAGGAGAAACAGGAAGGGCACCTCTTTCCCCTCTGCTCCTGCGGCACAATGGGATCCACCGACAAGGAGGGACGCCATTAAGGCGTCTGATAAGATAAGTCTTATAAAATATATAGATTTATGATAATTAAGACTGAGCTAACAGATGAGAAGTCCTAGTCATTGGCCAAGCAGCTTTGAACCTAATACAAGTTTCTGTGTATTCATTTGGGCCTAACTCGGGCAGGCGGCTGGCGTAAAGCTCACACGTGGTGGTGGGGCTCAGTGGCTTTTGGCGGAAAGATTTATTATAACAGAATGGTGTCAGGAGTGGGATCACCCCATGCCCCAAGGTTCCCAGACAAAGAGGTAAACCTGCCGCCATCGGAGCAGCTTCCATGGGCTCGTACGGTCAAGGTGCTTCTGGAGTTTAGACTCGGCATTTCTGAGATGATAAAATCAGATCCAGATAAAGAAAAAGCTCTAAAGCTTTACACTACATCTAAAAATATATGTAGGCTTATGGGGAAAAAAGTAACAGGAGGAAATAGAGTAGCCGGTTATGGTGGCCAACGCCGGTAGGATTTGCTGAAGGAAGCAGAGGCAGGCGGATTTCCACAGAGAAACCCTGTCTCAAAAAAAAAAACAAAACCAAAAAATCCTGTGGCCGTGTTCATGGGGGGGACTGTTTTAATTATGTTAATTGATGTGAGATGACCTAGCCCACCGTAAGTGGCGCCATTCTCTGGGCTTGGTTCCTGGCCTGTGTAAGAGTGGAGAAAGCGAGCTAAGTACTAGATGTACCCACGCATTAATTTCTATCTGCTCTTGACTGTGCATGGGCTGTTTCTGACTCCTTGACTTCTCCACTGTGAACTGGGAGCCAAAATAAACCCTTTATCCCCTGACTTGCTTTTTGTCAGGATAGTTTATCACTATGACAGAAACAAAACTAGGACAACCTGTCCCTGGTCTTTTAACCTAGAGCATCTCACATGGATAGGGACAGGAGTGTATTTAGCTATTATCACAAGGCAGTAGCTGTAGCTGGCACTCTTGTGGGCAGACTGGAAGCCTAGGGGCAAGCTCAGCATAAATGCTGCTTCCGAATCTCCAGAGCCTGTCAGAGTCCCTGGACCCTGGGGGAAGAGGTTAGAGTGCAGTCATCTGGGAGCAGTCCTGGGTGGCTTCTGTTGTATCTGTGACCCTTGCTCACTTCAAAGCTTCCCACAGACCCAGGGAATACTTGCCACCATCCAAAAGCAAAAGCCTGCTCCTTGGAGCCTGGATTTCAATGGGCAATGGGCAAATGATTAAACAATGATAAAGTATTATTATTAACTGAATTACTCGTATACTGAGAGTTGATAAGCCTTAGGGAAATATGAGAAGGTAGAGAGCACAAAATAGGACTAGGGCAGGTTGCAGCCATCTCAAGATGAAAATGAGTGCAAAACACCTCTGTTCAATGTATCCCTTTGTAGCCACATGGTGTGAGAGATTATGTGTGACTTGAGAGCACAGTAACTTGGCAACAAATCCTTAGGGATGGGCTATCTAAAACCAAATGTATTCAGTGTTTGTACGGTTTCTATTGATAGTTCCTTAAAAAGTTATTTTCCTGAGCTATGAGATATAGCAAACAAATAGTGTTTATTCTGATAGGAACCTGGCTTTGGGGATCAGTGAACTGGAGGGCTAATTGTAGACCTCAGAATTTGCATAAGAACAGTGTGTCGTTATAACCAAATTTTTGATGACTAGTTGTGTGTCAACTAAAGCTGAGTGGAGGGAGCCTCAATTGAGAAAATGCCTTCCTAAGATTGGGCTGTGGGTAAGCCTGTAGGGCATTTCATTAATTAGAGATTTATATGGGAGGGCCTAGTTCACTGTGGATAGAGTCATCCCTGGGCTGGTCTTCCTGGGTTCTATAAAAAAGGCCAGTTGAGTAAGCCATGAGGAGCAAGCCTCCTGGCCTCCATGGCCTCTGTGTCAGCAACTGTTTTTAGGTTCCTGCCCTGATTTCTCTCTGTGAGGGACTGCAAGTAAAAGCAAAATCAACCCTTTCCCAAGTTACTTTTGGTCATGGTGTTTTATAACAGTAATAGAAACCCTAACTTAGACAAAATTAAATGAGGTAACATGAAGCCATGTCTGTGTACAATGCACGAGTATTTTGAACCACCTTACGATGAAAGTCCCACCATTTGAAACCCCTAGGCAGATAATTTGGTGTTTAAAAAAAGAAAAAAGTACTTGGCTTTTTCCTGCTGAAATGGCAGGGTAGAAGGACCACCCTTCACAATGCACACTGATGACCCCATTTTAGTTCCCAGTGTTTATCTTTCAAGAGTCAATGCTCCTTAGAGCAATGGCTAGTTCCATGTCTTAGAGCAATGGCTAGTTCCATGTCTGGCCTGGGACTGAAAGGCACTTGGGAGTTTTAGGACATCTATGCCTTGTTCAGTCAGAAAACAAAGCTTTGAGCAGTTGATCAGTCAAAACTTGACACAACCAGTCTAAGGAGTCCCTATAGACTGAAGGTGGGACAGTGTTGAGCACCCTAAGGAGAAAAGGCCAGTATCAATTGATACGACCTGAAGTCATCAGTCTATAATGACACCCAAAAAGAAGTTCTGACAAGCTAATTCTCAGCATGAATTGAGACTAAAGGCACTGGCCCAGCAGACCTGAAGACCTGGGTTTCACCCACCCCTGGGAACCACAGAAAGGTACAAGGAGAGGAAGGATACCACAAAGTTGTTCCATGACATGCACAAAGTGGCATTGACAAACAACCTCAAACCATAAACAATAAGTAAAAAATTGAAAAGAAGCAACAGTGTGTATTTCTACTGTGAACCTGTTAGGTCTCAGGAAGCGCCTATGCCCAGGAATGAGTCTTGGCTCAGCTCAAGCTGGCCTAGAAAAAGATTTCTGGTGGTTAGATAAAAGCCAGTATTCCTCAGGAACTCGTGAAATGGCTTCCCCTCTGCCAAAAGGAGTCATTTCCCTTGCCTCTGGCAGATGGGACATGTGGCTCTCCATTGATACATATCCATGGCTGAACATCAAAGTCCATGCTGGTCTCCAGGCTCCCTCAGTCCCTACTTACCATCTCAAAGCCCAGGCCATTGTGGCCGGTCCTGCTTCTTCTCCACTATGCCTCCTCCCAGGCTTCTGCCGTTTCCAGGCTTCCTGTCTCCATATGAGTTGGCTCTGTATAGAATGCCTCCCCCCATCTCACACCTGCTATTCTTTACTATTCTCTTTTTCGATACTCTGACTATTCTCTATACTATGCTCTCTTCCTGCTTCTCTCTGCTCCCAAGAGATAGCCTGGGCCATGTCCGGT